GTTGAACATGTCATCCCAGGGTCTTCTGTCTTTTCGTGTTACCACCTGACCAATTGTTGCTTTTTCAAGGTTATCAGCTTTTTCCTTCTGGTTGCCTTTAGTATATCGTTCTTGTCTTTGGTATTCTTCAATCTTTGACATTTTGTTGTTTTTTTTTTTTTGAGGAAGATTAGCCCTGAGCTAACATCTGCCACCAATCCTCTTTTTTTAGCTGAGGAAGACTGGCCCTGAGCTAACATCCGTGCCCATCTTCCTCCACTTTATATGTGGGACGCCTACCACAGCATGGCTTGCCAAGCAGTGCCATGTCCGCACCCAGGATCTGAACTGGTGAACCCCAGGCTGCCAAAGCAGAACATGCGAACTTAACCTCTGCACCACCAGGCCAGCCCCTGACTTATTTAACATCCTGGTACTGGTTGGTTTTCTTGAATCTGTGGGTTGGCATCTTTCAAGGGCTCTGGGAAAATCATAGTTGTTATGTCTTCAAATATTGCCTCCTCCCCTTACTCCTCAGGTCCTTCTGGAACTCTTATTAGACAAAGGTTTGCTCTTCTCAATCCTACTGATCTTCTCAATCTGTGTTCACATCTGTGAATCTCTGTGTTGTATGTTTTCCATTTGCTCCCAGACGCACTCTGTGTCTCTCTCTGCCCTGCACTGTGTCCCAGGAAGCTGACTCCTACAGACAGGATCCCTGGTTCTCTTGCATTCTGGCCATTGGGTTAGGTCAAAGGGAGACCCCAGCAGAAGTGAGAAGGAGAGATTGCCCTGGGTATTTATTTGTCTCACCTCTCCCTCCCAGCCTGAGGTTTTGGCATCACCACATGCTTCTGTGTCTGCAGCTCCTGCTTGAGGACCCTCCTACTGTGGCTTAGTGCTTGAGGTTCTGTCAATGCCTTTTATGTTTCATGTTGTACAATATTTGAATTATTGATTGGATATACACTTGTAAAGCAACTGCTTTCGATGCCAACGTGGTGGGCATTAGTGCTGTCTGCAAATAACTCTGTTTCTCCCCCTTCCTTGTACACCCTGTCCCATGTGACTATTTCCAGCCAATGAATTGAGGCTGAAACATTTAATTGTCAAACTCTCTCTCTTCCCTGGCACAGCAATTGGCAACATTTGCTCTTGCAGTCTGGTTCCCTCAGTGACCATCCAGAAAACAGCCCCCTGTGACTTAAGGTAGGCATGGAGCATATGAGAAAAACAACATGATGCTGAGATCTGAAAACTGTTTGTTACCACAGCATGACTTAGACTATACAGACTGATAAGTGAATATTATGTCTTTAATTCATATGTTGAAGCTGCAGTCCCTAATATGATGGTATTAGGAGGTAGGGCCTTTGGGAGGTGATGAGGATTAACTGAGGTCATGACCGTGGAGCCCCTATCATGGGATTAGTGGCCCTATAAGAAAAGGAAGAGGGGCTGGCTCAGTGGCACAGCGGTTAAGTCCGCATGTTCTGCTTCTCAGCAGCCCAGGGTTCGCTGGTTCAGATTCTGGGTGTGGACATGGCACCACTTGGCAAAAGCCATGCTATGGTAGGGGTCCCACATATAGAGGAAGATGGGCATGGATGTCAGCTCAGGGCCAGTCTTCCTCAACAAAAAGAGGATTGGCAGTAGTTAGCTCAGGGCCAATCTTCCTAAAAAAAAAAGGAAGAGACACCAAAGTTTCCTCTCTCCACCATGTGAGGACACAACAAGAAGGTGGCCATCTGCAAGCCAGGAAGAGTCCTCATTAGAAACTGACCATGCTGCCACCCTGATCTCAGACTTTCCCATCTCCAGAACTATGAGAAATAAACATCTGCTGTTCAAGCTACCCAGTTTATGGTGTTCTGTTATAGCAGCCCACGCTGACACTAAGTCATGTCATCAAAGGGAAATTCCCCTTCTCTCGAGTTTTCAGTGTCATATTAAAGGAAAACTATGATGAGTAAACCTGTCATCCCCTTATCCTTCAGTGAGGTGTCTTCATAACCAATCACTTCGACAACTGAAAGACACACATATGCAGACCTCTGTTGTGTGGACCTGGCTTACATCCCCTTGTTCAGCAGTTGAGGCACCACTGATTCATGCCAGGAGATGGTGGCTCAGGAGGCTGTGGGTCAGCAGGCTGTGGGCCAGGAGACCGAGCGCCAGGAGTTGAGAGCAGTGCTGACGGGCAGAACTTGGCTGTGGGGGTGTACACACCTTGCAGCCCACTGAGGTGTTGTCCTGCCTGCTCCCTGGGCTCCTCAGCTGCAGTTTTCACTTCAATAAGGAACGAGCTGGCTGCAGGCTCCTTTGGGGAGAGTTTGCCTCTCAGAATCTGGGCATGTAGCCTCAGAACCTGAGGCCCTCTGTGTCTCTCATCACTCCAGGGGACCAGAGTCCAAGTGCCCTGGGCCTGAGGCATCTGCCCTGGCTGTCATTAAGCTACAGGTTCAGTGCAGCTTTCTTCTGTGTTACAGCAGGAATTGTGAAATAAGTGGGACTAAGTAGGACAGAAGCCTTATTTCAAATGTCAAATGTCAGCTGCACCAGGAATTTACTTAGGCCAGCTTTCAATCAGTCGAGTTCCACAGTCATTCTAGAATGCTCAGGGAAATGCTGCTTGCTGTGAGGAACAGCAAAAAGATGAGACACAGTCTCTGCCCTTGAAGAGACTGTCTCTCTGGGAAATGAGATGGACTCAGGAGGAACATGTAGGGAACAGCCCAAAGCAGCATGATTCCTGCTCAATGAGTCAGCCAGAACACCGTTTCAGTGGGGACTCAGGGAAATGACCAACAGATGCACTGGAGTGGTTCCAACATCTTCTAATACCGGACAGCTACCTGTGGCTAGGTGACTAATCCCCACACAAAGGCTCCTTCTACGCAAGTTTGGTCACATTCCCCAGGCACAGTTTCTGCTGCAAGGTGTACTTTTCATCAATCAGAATTATAGCAATAGGAAAGTAAAACAGAGGAGACCAATTCCACAAAATAAACAGGCCTGAAAAACAAGCCTTTTTGCTGTGCAGTGCTCTCACGGTCAGAAGTCACCAGAAAGCACTGCAGAGCACCCTCGAGAGTGTCCTGCACCATAGCCAAGGCTTCCCTTCCTCTGTCACAAGGCTCACACTCTGAGGAGTCCTGGCAATTGGACACCTCCACAACACGGCCAAAATCAGCTTGAGAAATGGTGACCTGCCTTCTGCTGCAGGTGGCTTTTCCAACTCTCCTCAACAAGGGTCTGGTTCCCCCAGAGACCAGCAGCACGTTCATGAATGAGTTGCTTCCTCTTAGTGGTCGGGGACACACACCTGCCCCCAGGAAGCTGCACTCAGCCACGCAAAGCACAAGTGGGAGAGGGAAGAATGTTGATTCTGATCAACATGCAGGTGGTGTGGGATGCTTGGTACCCCATCGTGGGTGTGTAGCTCTGAGCCCACAATGAGTCACAATGCTTGTGCATTCACAGACACGTCTTGTGGCTGAGCAACTGAAAAGCAGATAGCTCCCAGAAGTGGTCTTGTCTTCTCAGACCCCCTTCCCAATTTCACACCCTTAGATTCACGAGAAGGGTGTTATACATCTCTTCTTCTCATGTGCTGCTTCTTGTCCCTTGAAAAGCTAGCCAATAACTCAGGTTCCACACCATCATGCTCTCTAAAGGATGATTTTATTGCCACACCTAGGAACTGAGAATCCCTGATAAGAAACTTGGGATTTGATATACTTTATGGCAATGCTCAGATCATTACCTTGTAACTGACCTGATAAAGTTTTCAAATAAAATTTTATTAATGATACTCATTATATTAATACCTCTTACTGTATGGCTTATGCTTTTGCATAATTAGCCGCCATAAACAATCCTCTGAGAGCGAGCATTATTTCCCCCATTTTGTAAAAGAGGAGGCAAGGATAGGAGTTGAGTCACTTGCTGAAGCTCACGTGCCGTGGCTTGTAAGGTGCAGAACTGGAACATGAACCTGGGCCTTCAACTCTTCATGGTGGCAAGTGTTTATTAAGTGTTTTATGCAAATAGGATTTCAAATTCTTGGGAGAATAGTAAAAATATCAAAGACCTGTCAGTTTTTCATTGACAGGATTTATAAAATCCTCTCACATGTATTCTCCGACATGAATGTTAATACATTTTCTCTTTGTCAAGTGTCCTCTTTCTGTTTTCTTTAAATGAATGGTTTCTCTTCTGTTCTATATGAACAAGTAGACTTCACTATTCTGCATAAAATCAAGAAAATCACACACTGACATTTGTTATTAGCATGTAAAAAAATTCTGTTTCCTCCACAAACCATTTATATAAATGTTTATGGGATGGCTGAAGAGGCCTGGTCCTCAGCTTGGTCTAATCCTGTTTGCCATGTAGTGCTGTGTGACCTTAAGGAGAAGCAAGCCTCTAATCTCAGTTTAGTGTCACATCAGAAAGTTGTTGGGAATATTACTGAGACACTAAAAAGTAAAGCACTTTGTAAATGTTAAAGTCCTATACAAATGTAAGAAATTGTTCAATTACTCCCTAGAGCTAAGAGCTAAAGAAAGGATAGTGGCCTGCCGCAAGCCAAGGATTGACTGGACTTGTCTAAGTACTGGACTGAACAAAAAGGAGGTGGACCAGGTCACATAAGAGCGAGGGGACGTGGGTGGGGTTGAGGAGCGCACAGGTACCCGAGGAAGAGCCGTGACCATGCGCACACCTTTGGGAACCTCCGGAACAGTGCAGAGCTGTGCTGCAGTTTGGCAAATGATCGTAGCCAGGAAATCCTGACGATCGCAGAGGCTTCCTTTAGGAACGCCACAAAGACACAGGAGGCATGCTTGTCTGACCTGCTGATGACACAAACGGGCTCGTTAACAGGATTTGAGAAGTTGAGGGTGCGTTCGAGATGACTCAGAAGCAGAATAGCTAACGGTTGACCAGACGCTGGGCAGGCCCCCTAGGCGCAAACTCCAACCCCGCCGCCCACTAGCTGTGTCACCACGGCTGCTTACCAGCCCTGCTGTGCCCTGGCTTCGCCACCCACTTCACAGGGTCGCTGTGGGAATTAAACGAGTTGGTATGTGCTCAACCGCTTTGACGAGCGCTTGACCCGCGGCCACACCCACACACGGCTCACCCTGGGCCGCGGTCCGGGGCTACCTGAGGGAGTGGCCGTGCTGACGGCAGCTTACGGTAAGCGTCCCAATGCTCCGCGCTCAGTCGGACTCCAGAGGGCCGTCTCCCACCCGCTCCGCCGGCCTCCTCCCGCGCTGAGAGGAGCCGGCCGCCACGGCCTGCCGTCCGCGGGCTTCTCCTCTGCCGCTCGTTCTGGGGATCGAACTCGTCCTCTGACCTGTCTCCCTCGGCGTGCCCTCACCTTTGCCCCGGGATGCCTTGCCCATCGCGCTGGTGCACAGTCTGCGCGGCAGCTCAGCCCTGCTCCCGGGGTCTCAGGGGCGTCAGGGCCGCGCCCCGCCACCGCGCTCCGCGGCGAGGGGGGGGCCGACCTCCGCGGAGAGGAGGCCAGGGCCCGTGATGTTTAGAAGCGCTGCGTCCGCCGCCTCCGCCGCCGCGCAGGGCGGCCGTTCGGAGCTGACCGGAACCGTCAGGCTGGAAACGTCTGCTTCACCAGAGGCATCCACGCAGGGCGACCGGCGACGCGCCCACAAGGAGGGAGTCTGGACAGGCTGAGCGAGAGCTCCAGGGAAGTCCGGAGAGGCGGAGGCCGCCGGCGCGGACCAGCTCCAGTCAGGGCGAGACAGCAGCCGGCGAGCGAGCCGCGAAAGAGGGAGCCGAGACACTGAGACCAGCGCAGGGCCAGCCCTCACGGGAACGGAGGCGGCTTTGAGGAGACGGGAGGGAGCGAGGGCGACGACCGAGAAGAGGCCAGGCTACGCACGCGGTCCCAGTAAGGCGGCGGTCCAGGCCGGGGGGAGCAGGCGCCCCGCAGGCCGGGGCTCTCCCTGCGGCCGTCAGGCCTTCCCGGGCCGGGGCCGGTGGAGACGCCGTCCGGGGTCGCAGTCGGGGTCAGGGCCGGGCCAGCAGAGACGCGTCTCCTCGCAGACGAGCGCCCCGCCGCGCTCCGTATTTAACCGGACTTGCGCGCGTTTCCAAGTGCAGAGGCGGCGGCGGCCGCGCACGCGCAGAAGCGACGCGCCGTCCGGGAGCTCCGCCCGCGCTTGACCCCGCGGCCGCGCGCGCCAACGCCGGCCACGAACCCCGGGCCCCCAAGGCCCACGGGCCTCCAGAGTTCCTGCAGCCGCTGAGCCGGACCGGGCGGGGCGGCACAGACCCCGGGCCGGCCCGCCGGGACCCCCGTCCGCGGCAGGAAGTGAGCTCCTCGCCGCTCCGCCCCGCGCGCCCCCAGCCGGCCGCCGCCCTCGCCCGAGCCGCGGGACCTCCGGGCCGCCCGGGGGCGCCGTGCGGGCTGAGGCAGAGCGCCGGGCACACGGGGAGCGCTCGGAAGTGACGCGCATCCGGCGGAAGGCCCGCCCGCCCGCGCGACGGTCCTCGTGTCAGACCGGCGGCATGGCGCACTACAACTTCAAGAAGATCACCGTGGTGCCGTCAGCCAAGGTAGGCGGCTCGAGGGGCCTTCCGTCCCCGCCCTTCTCCGCAAGTCGCCGAGGGCCGGGCCCGCAAGGCGGGGCTGGGAGAGGGGTCGCCGCCGCGCCAGCCTCGCCTCCCAGCCCACGTCGCCCGGCTTAGGGGTCCCCTCAAGGAGCGGGGGGGGGGGCTCCTTCCTTAGAGATTAGGTCCTTCCTCGGAGATCAGGCTCCTTCCTCAGAGGTTAGGGTCCCTCCTCAGACTTGCACATTAGGATTCTTCCTCAGAAGTCAGGGTCCTTTCTCGGAGGTCATGGTCCTTCCTCAGACGTTAGGGTCCCTCCTCAGAGGTTAGGTCGTTCCTCAGAGATTAGGTTCTTTGTCAGAGATTAGGGTCCTTCTTCAGAGATGAGGGACTTTCCTCTGAGATTAGGTTCCTTCCTCAGAGATCAGGGCCCACGGGGGTTAGGGTCTTTCCTCAGATGTTCAGGGTCACTCCTGAGAGTAGGGGGAGAGTCAGGGAAAACGTTATGAAGTAGGTAGCTGGAGCCTTAAGGGTTCACCGAATCTGCGAGATGGAGCGGAGATAGAGGAGGTCTCGAGGCGTGATCTGCCCCTCCCAGTGCTGACAGTGTTGTAGGCGCCTGGCTTTGTTTCTGTTTGCACTGGGGACTTCCTGCAAAAGTCTCCGTATGTATTTTAGAAGATTATAAACCGTGGGTTTTAGTTTTATCGATTATCTTGTATGCTTTCAAAGTCAAGGATATGCAAATCAAAACTGAAGGATTGTTTCTTTTTCTTTAAAATGTTTTCTGATTTTTGCTTGAGTTATCTGACTGCTTAAGTTCAAAGGTTCTTAGGTATTTAGAAAATAAGATAACCTAGGGCCGCCTGGTGGCGCAGTGGTTAAGGGCCCACATTCCGCTTCAGCGGCCTGGGGTTTGCCAGTTCAGATCCCGGGTGCGGACATGGCACCGCTTGGCAAGCCATGCTGTGGTAGGCATCCCACGTATGAAATAGAGGAGGATGGGCATGGATGTTAGCTCAGGGCCAGTCTTCCTCAGCAAAAAGAGGAGGACTGGCAGCAGATGTTAGCTCAGGGCTAATCTTCATCAAAAAAAAATAAGATAACATCAAGGAAGTTTGGGATAAAATTTAATTCAGCAGCTGTTTGCTAAGTGTTTGTTAAAGGCAAAGACTATAAAAGATGAACAAAGTTGTATATAGAAGGCTAAAGATTTAGTTAGAAGAGTGTTTGTAGTTTAAAATGTGTGTTATTGTTAGATACTAGTCTTAAGAGGGTTTCAGATGAGTGTATGAAAAGTAGACGTTTCTGGTGTAACTGTGTCTTATTTTATTTAATTTCAGGACTTTATTGACCTGACATTGTCGAAGACTCAACGAAAGACTCCGACAGTTATTCATAAACATTACAAAATTCATCGCATTAGACATTTTTACATGAGGAAAGTCAAATTTACTCAACAGAATTACCATGACAGACTCTCACAGATTCTAACCGATTTCCCCAAATTGGATGTAAGTGACTCCAAGGGATAACATGGTTATATAAATATGAGGCTTCAGAAAAATCAGTGTTTAATCAGTTTGGCCTGCTCATCTGACAGATAATGAAGGACACAAAATAATTGACTTGTCGAAGTTTCCTCAGTGAGTTAGTGGCAAAGCTGGGAACAGAACACAGGTTTTTTGATTCCTTAGTGTTCTTCCTTTCCCCCAACTAAACCCCATCTAAGGGGCCCAAAGCTGTCTCCTCAAGCTTTGTTTGTAACCTCTGGGCTTGCAGGGGTCAACACAAGCTGTTTAAAAGCTGAGGACTGAATCCGGAAGTCTAGGGTTCTGGTGGCTCACTGGCTTGTCTCGGCTTCCTCTCCTCCCTCTTTTCCAAGGCTCCTGTTCTTGTGGGCTCACACTGGGTCAGTGGCCTGAGGTCCGCCACTGTTGTGATCTTGCTGCTTCATCAGCTGATGATGATCAGTTCAGCACTGACTGCTTTCTTCATTGCCAAGAGGAAGTCGAGTGGGGAGCTGTGACTTACATGTTAAGCCAAATAAGTTGAATTCTTCACTCTGCTGCATAGTGCAGTTGGCCTATTTCTTTAGCTATAGAGAGCAAGAGCAGACACTGCTTAGGAAGTCCCTGTGGGGGTCACACAGTTGCAGGGTTATTTGAGGTGATGAAAGATGTGGGGTCAGGAGGCCAGTGTAAGAGCCTAAATTTGCCACTGCCCAGAAATAGTCTCTGAAGGTAGGTTAAGGCAGAGAGAAGAGGTTGGTTTATGTGACCAGAATTTCTTTTGCATTGAAAAAGGTAATGATGGCTGTTAAAAAAATACCGAAGTGTTTAAAATAAAAAGTAAATTCTGCTAGCAGACAGGCACTTATATGCATCTCTAGGACTTGGGTGCTTGATAGGTGCATGTTGAATGAGTGAATAATTTTTGGCGATAGGGCAGGTGTTATAGAAAGTACCTGGGGATGAAAAAAGATGTAAGAATGAGATTATTCTAAACTGATTTGGTGTTAGGAAGCACCTGATTTGAGCAAACAGAAAATACCTTGATCTTCTTAGTACCAGGTTTTTGTGGTTCTTTGTAAGAAATTTTACCTTTTTCATCCTTGGTATCTTTTTTATTATTACATTAGAGGTTTAAATTTATAAACATTCTGTTCCTGGTTTTTAGTTAGAGTGAGTAGTCTGAGGACAATTTTAGAGGAGAGAGTTAGAGTATGTTACCATTCATCAAATGGTTTTCATGTCTCAAGTACTCTTCTAGGTGCTAGGAATACAACGGTAATTTTAAAGAAAGGTCGCTATCCTTGTCTAGTAAACATGAAAATACAGAGTGTGTCAGATGAGAAAGGAAAGTAGGGAGTGCCTGAGCAGGGAGTTTGTAGCAGAGACTTGAAGGAAGTGAGATCATGAGCCGTGCAGCTATGTGGGAAAAGTGTACTGTAGGCACAGGAACAGCAAGTGCAAAGGCCATGAGGTCTACAATCTGATGTCTCTGAAGAGCAGGAAGACCGGGCAGGATGTGTGAGAGGGAGGGCACTAGAAGATGGATCAAAGAAGTAGTGGCTGGAGCAAGGCGACTTGTGTAGGACTTAAATTCTGTTCCTGAGGGAGCAGTCGGAGTTGAGCATGGGACATGCTGTGCTTTGACTTAGCTTTAGAGGATGACTGGCCCATGTGGGAAGAGACCGTTCAGAGGGGAACGCAGCAACTTAGATGACTAGTGGTGGTGAAGGAGTAAAGTGGCTGGCTTCAGGGTATCCTTTGAAAGAGGAGCTAATGGATTTGCTCATAAGACAGGTGTGGGCTTTAGCACCTTGGGCAGTGGTATTGCTATTCACCGAGACACGGAAGGGGAGCAGATTTGAGGACAGGGAGAGCAGTTTGTACATGTTGATCATGAGATGTGGGTAAGATGTCAAAGTAGAAGTGCCGAGCAGTCTGAGGCTCATGAGCAGTCTGGCCTGGAGATGTAAAAATGGGACCTGTGAAAATGTAGACATATTCGGAGCTCCATGAGACCACGTAGGAAATGAGTGTGGAAAGAAATGTGCTCCAGAAACTCGAGTTGAACATTGGGGTGGGAGCACAAGTCAGCAAGGGAGTTTGAGGAGTGGCCACAGTGGGTCCCGAGGCCGTTGAATAAAATGTATCAAGAAGGATGAGTGGCCAGCTGCCTAATGCTGCAAAGAGGTCTAGTAAATAAACGAGGATTGGAAGGTGACTGGTGATCTGATGAGCTGTTTTGATGGATTAGAGACAGTCCTGACTCGATTGGGTTTATGAAGAGTAGGAGGAAAGAAAAGACAGTATTTCTCTTCGTGTCATTTACCAAAAAAAAGAAGCCGAGAAATGGAAGGATTGTGGGTTCAAGGGAGTTTTAAAACTTTTAGAGAATTTTCCTGGGAAATAACAGTATGTTTGCAAGCTGATGGGAATGGCCAGGTAGAGAAGGGAGAATTTCTGGAGCTCAGTTCTTGAGAAGTAAGGGGATGGGTCTAATGTAGAAATGGAGATCTGGCTTTGGCCAGGTCCAAGGACAGTAGTGGGGATCAAGGAAGCTTTCTTGGGCATGGGTCAGGTGCATGTGTGGGCAGAAGTAACTGCTGCGCCTGCTTCCCTGCTTTCTGCTGCTTTTTTCTCAGAAAACTACAGTCAGTCATTAGCCAGGAGAGAGGACTGGGGAGAAGATGCTAGGGGTGTGAGGGAAGAGGAAAAGGTGTGACATACTTCCCTAGAAAATAACTCTTCAAGTATTATTTACTTGGAGGGATGAGAAACTATTGTATCAAAATGACTGTTGTTTTTCTTGTTATAGGATATCCATCCATTTTATGCTGATTTGA